GACTCCCTTCTCAAGGCACAAGAGAAATTGTAAAAGGCATGGGTTGGAAGATTTTAAAAGGGCCATTCTCCTATGAAATCTAGCTATTACTGAACACATAGGTAGGCCCTGGGAGAGGCACCAGCACAGGGTAGTTTTCTTTTAAAAGGCGTCAAACTGAAGCAGCGTTGAGGGTTTGGCTGACGGAGGCTGTCTTCCGTCACCTGTTAAGTTGAAGTTAAGTGACATACTGGCCAGAATTCTGTTGCCCAGAATGCAACCAAGACTCATTTATGAGCAGTAAATTGCCACCAATTTTCCTTACACAAGTGTAAACATGATTCTGGCCAGCAATATACAGGCCAGGTGGGGTGGGGGATTCTAGAATTTGTAGTTCATGCTGCTAGCCTTCCCCCCCCCATGGAATTCTGGGGCTTATGGTCCAAAAAAAAGGAACTATTTCAAGCAGAGTGTTCTACCTCATACATAAGTGCACACAGGATGGCATCCAGCGCGCAGTCAGCTTTCTGCCATCCTTACCTGCTGTTTGGCCTGGAAAGTATTTCCCTTTGCACAGGAGGAGGAGGAGATCCCATACACACACTCCTAATCACCCAGGACAAAGATGGGGAGAAGGAGGGGAACAGTGGTGGCAGGTGATGAACAAGAGCAGATGACAGTCCCCTGCCCCCACTGCTCTCTTGGGGGTCACGGGGGAGAGCACAGGAGTCAAATCTGATTATGTTTGACTGTGGTTGGTCTGAAAATAGTTTGCTAGTTATGAGCACTGCCCGTTTCTATGATCATTTTGCCCATGTTGTCATTGACAAAGCAACAACTGGCACCAACAAAGTCTGTTTCGTGATTCTTCCCCTACTAGATCCTCGTTAGTGGGATTCTCAAATAAAACTGCTAGCAACAACCCAGCAGTTCCAATGTTGATGCAGCCACTTGCAGCCAATTCTCCTCCTTGTATGTGAAGTCCAGGGTAATTGCCCTGTGCTACCCTCTTTAAAAAACTCCTTTCTGAAAGTGACTGATGAACACTTGTATTTATGGTATTTGACCTTCAAGGGCACATTCTTACCTGGAGCTCAGGTAAAGCTGTAGCTGCTAAGTGGTGAGCATACACCTCTAAACCCAGCGTATGTTCCACTGGATAGCTGTGAGAGGTATGATTAGGACTGAGAAAGAAGAAAAGCTTGCTCTGTTCCACATGGGTTTCCCACCTCCACACCCAGGGTTCGGTTTGCAACTAAAGCTGTAAGCCTATGCGCACTTTGAGTAAGTCCCACTGAATGCAGTTGGACTGACTGAAATATGCAAGGATTTTCTAAGGTGGTAGCGGTGTCAGTGTGTTGCAGGAACAACAGAGCCTTGTGACACCTTAACAACGAACATGCTTTATTGGGGATAAGCGCTTGTGGACTGCCAGTGTGCTGCAATCCAGGAAAGCTCGTGCCAAATACAGTAAAACCTGTTAGTCTTTAAGTTGTCTTAAGAATCTTTGCTGTTGATGTAAACACCACATATTGATGTAAACACCCGTCAAACTAGCAGTATCCAGTCTTATACTCCAGACTATTTGAGAAGGACAAAGGGGACACATCCTGTATGTGAAGCTGGCTGCCTTGATTCACTGGGGTTTGCCTCCTTCCATTATAAGCAAATTAAACAAAATGTAATTAGGTAGTGTGATGGCAGTTTCCACCTGTGACTGCCTCAACCTCTTCCATTTCTAAGAGTTCCTTTTATGACTGTTTAAAAGTGTACAGTTAATAGTTTTTTTTTAAAAAAAAAACAGTACAGTTGAAATGTGAAGGTGACATATGGGTATTTGAAAATGCATGTGTCATCGTGTGTCAACATGCTTCAGTTTGACTCTTTTAGAAAACTGCCCTGTGCTGGTACCTCTCCAAGATAGCTGGGATTGGCTGTGGCTTTCTCTGTTGAACATAGTATAAATTCTGTGGCAAACCTGGCTTTGTGGTGGAGGTGTAATAGGTGCACAGTACTAAAATTTGTTTCCAAGTTTGTTTCCACTGTCATGCAGTGACACCACACAATGGATGGTTTACAGCTGTTCCTCTACCTGAGTTTTCAGAATGCAAATGGGAAATGGCACTATTGTGTACACAAAGCCTCACAGCTTCAAATAATTCTTTTAACAAGATTGCCACGTTTCATGTTATTGTTAGATGTCGTCAGGTCACTCCCAATTTATGGTAACCCTACAAATGAATGATTTCCAAAGAGTCCTGTCCTCCACAGCCCCGCTCAGCTCGTACAAACTCAAGTGTCTTTTAGGACAGAGGTCATCAACCTCTGTCCTAAAAGCTGGACCAGGCCACGGAGACAGACCTCCCGCCCACACTCCCCAACCCACAGCTGCTTTGCGCATGAACAAGCATGCCGGTGCCGGTGTGAGAGCTCCCCCACCAATTCACACGTGCCCAAGCATGAGGGCATGCAGACGCTCCTGCACATGCATGAAGAAGTGGGGGAGCGCTCAGGCTAGTGTTGGTGCATGCACGCCCCCACCACTTCCCACATGTGCCTGAGAGCATGTGTACATGTGCCCAAGAGCGAGCACGCGCCGGGGGTGCCCCATCTTCCTCAGAGGCTCAGCCGGTCCGCAGTCCTGAAAAGGTTGGGGACAGCTGCTTTAGGGAGTCAATCTATCTCTTATTTGATTTTCCTCTTTTCCTGCTGCCTTCAACTTTTCCCAGCACTATTGTCTTTTCTAGAGAATCCTGTCTTCTCACAATGTGCCCAAAGTATGACAGCCTTAATTGCAACATTTTTTCTTCCAAAAATAGTTTAGGCTTGATTTGACCTAGGACTCTCTTGTTCATCCTTCTGGCAGGTCCCGGGGTATCATCAAAGCTCTCCTCCACCACCATATTTTGAAGAAATCAATTTTTCCTATCAGTTTTCTTTACTGTCCAGCTTCCACACCCATATGTGATAACTGGAAATACGTCAGTGTGGATGACCTTGATCTTGGTCTCCAGTGACACATCCTTACACTTGGTGATCTTTTCTAATTCTTTAATTGTTGCCCTTCCAAGTCTCAGTCTTTTTCTGATTTCCATTAGGACTGGTATATAAAATCTCTATTTCAATTTCTTTCTTTTGAATGTTAAAAGTTCTGTAGTTCTTCTGTAGTCATGATTTTGGTCTTGTTAATGTTCAAGCTGTTTTTCATAGTTGCTGTGAAATTTATTAAAATATAAATTGACTTAAACAACATAAAAATCTGCAAATATGAAGCAAGGACAATGACTCTGAGATCAAAGGTTTGGAAAGCTATTGTTCTTTCCCTTTGGTGATGGTCTTCGAAGCTGGTGATTGCTGATTATTGTAAGTAAAGATTGCATATGCCATTTGTCAAGTCTTGAAAAGGTAAGATGGAGCTAGTGAAGACTGACCTGTAGAAAAATATAAGGTAAAACTTTAAAAAAATAAAAATGCAGACAGATGAATGCTATATTGTCCATGTGACTATTCCCCCTGTAGCTTGTGCAAAGTCTAGTTTTCCTATTCATGTTTTGTAGTATCCCAGTTAGTGTGCTGCAATGCATAGGGATTGCTGTACTTTTGTGCAAGATGCAGACACAGAATCTAATCCATCTCTAAGAAGCCGACTTAACACAACCACCTACCGTACATTTTTGGGACTCTCATTTATAATTTTTCAGCACCATCCACAAAATATATATGGCTTTAAAACTCACCGTTAAGCGATGTTTTTCCATAGCGCCGCCATTTTCGCACCCTCGGTAAGCGAGGGCAGGGCGCGAAAATGCGGCGCGGACCTTCCAGCGGCCATTTTGGAACCGCCGATCAGCTGTTCTCCCCATTTCGTTCTGCGAAAATCGCTAAGCGAATTGCTTAGCGATCATCTCAAAGCGAAAAACGCTATGGGGCCATCGCTGAGCGAACGCTCCAGCGATGGCCCGGACCCCCTCGCTATGCGAATTCATCGCATAGCGAAGCACTCACTAAGCGAGGCACCACTGTACTTTTGTGCAAGATGCAGACACACAATCTAATCCATCTCTAAGAAGCTGACTTAGCACAATCACCTACCATACATTTTTGGGACTCACATTTATAATTTTTCAGCACCATCCACAAAATATCAATGCATGGCCTGAAGATGTGGACTTGACCCAGGAAAGGTAGCGTTTGTGTTTTTTTAGTGGTCTAGTAAAGGTATTCCCTACTCCTGCATTTGTACTGTGCAAAGGCCGCACGGCTTTCTTTGTGCTTTTTTTTCAGAGCCATCTCGGCAGTATCTTTAATATGTGTATGTGGAGAACTGCGTCTCCCGATATACGGTAGTTTCAGGTGGATGTGTGATCGAGGCCACTACACGTGTCCTGTGACTGTGCACGTGACCACTTCCCCACAGAGAGCGGAGAGGGACAAGTGGTAAACGGAATACTGTAGCAGAAACGTCTCATAACACAGGTTCGGATCCCCCCTCCCAGCCCTTCCTGGGTGCATTTTGAGTCAGGGAGTCTGCCTTTCCAATCGCATCCTTCCGGGGCTTGTGTCGCCTGGTTCCGTACATGTGCGACCGCGGCCGTCGGCTGGTGCGTGCCGCCGAGCGTGTGATCGTGTCCCCTCACAGATACGGTTCGCGTGCCCGGCGACGAAGCCGGCGGGCGCTTATGGCATTGCTGTTCATCCGCTCCAAAGCAGGGCTGTGGGAGGGCGAGAGGGAAAGGCCTCGGCCGCGATGAGGGAGGGGGTCGAGGGCGGCGCCCGCTTCGGAGCCCCCCTCGCCCCTCCTTTTCCTCCCTCCGTAGGAACGGGGAACCCCTATCACAGCCAGGAGGGGAGGAGCCACCCAGCCAGCCGCGCTGCACCAGCACCCGCGCCGCCATGTGATGAGGTGCCCGGGTCCCCGCGCTGCATCCTTGCGGGCGAGGGGCAGGGAAACAGAAGGCAGGACGAGGCGGGGGCTGGTGGTGGTGGTGGTGGCGGCATGCGCGCTCCCGTGGTGTGCGCGCGTTAAGGAGGGAGGACGGTGTCGCCGGGCGTCGTCTCCTGGGTGCCTTCTCTTGACATTGTCCTCGTGGTCCTGGCCGAGGGATGGCCCCGGCACAGACGGCGGGCGAGGTGAAATGAGGCGCCCGGGGGAAAGAAGCCCCCTCGGTTGCCGGAGCGGAGGCGGAGGCGGCGGCGGGACTGGCTGAGCCGAGCCGAGCTGGCGGCGCCCCCGGCCCGGCGCTTCGTGCAAGGTAGTAACTTTTTCGGAAGCGTTTCCTCGTTTCGAGCGTGCCCGCGTTGGAAGACTGCCCGGGATGCGCTGCAACCTTGTTCCTGCCACTGGCCGTGGAGCTCGCCTGTTGCGGAGGGGGACCTCTGAGCAGGTGCAGAGTCTTCCCTGAAAGCCAGCCAAAGGCTATCCCCGCCTCTCTTTAGCTAAACACCCCCTCCTTTCGCCCATCGGCCGGAGTGAGCTCCGCTCCGCTTAGGGCGAAGGGACAGCTTTCCTCCATCTGACTCGTCGCCAATTCTGAGAGGGTCGTAACCTCTGCCTATAGGGACGGAGGGGGGGGACGCGCGCCGGCGCCGGGAATGGGCCGTGTGGTTGAGGCGTGAGAAAGTCTTGCCGAGTGTCCCGGTTTGCTTTGTTTTTCTGCCGCCCAAGTCACGATCCCGCTGGCCCGAGCCCGGGGGCTTTGCATGTGTCAGCGCGAGCGCGCGCGAGCCTTTTCTCGCTCTTTTGCGCGGGGCGCTGAGGAGTGTGGCGGTGACGTTATGCAGCTGCATCTTTCGGTGGGGGGGGGCGAGCGCGCAGTTTTTGCAACAGTTTGGTCACCGTGGCTAAGATCTCCTTCGGCTTGAGCAGAGGGAGGTGATTAATATTTCCGTCGAGAGGGGATCCGTGAGATCGGGCAGAGAGCAGAAAGAAGAGAGCCTGTCGTGCGACCTCCTCCTCCTCCCTGCTCCTCATCAGTTTTGTAGGCGCTCCCAACGCAGAGAAGCTAAAAGGGATTACAAAATACTGTACTTTTTCTCCAGTCTGTTGCACTCATGGTGGTTAACAAAATAGAGCGGCCCTATCGTTTCAAAACGCCCTTTTCAGTGTTACCTTTCATAGTGGCAATGTGTTTTGAATATAGAGCATGAGAGTTTTCTAGGCTAATAAACAATATATATATACTGTATAGGAATGTGATTTCTGTGTGACCTGGGATGAGATGGAACAGGATAAGCACCTATGCTAGGATTTCTCTCCTTTCACTTTGCTCTTTTTCCCTCACAGATTACCTAATTCTCCATCAACATCAGGTGATACAAATGTAAGAGCCAGTGGTTTTACTAAGTCTAGAAAGCATGGGTACTAAGTGGCGCCTGGGCAAGAGCACTGGCAAAATGGAGCAGGTCCTTTCCCTGAAGCAATAACCCTGGCAGACCGTGCTTAAAGAGCTTCATTGACTGCCCGTTTGCTTCCTGATACAGCTCAAAATGCTGGTTTTAAACGGCAACTGCTCTGTACCAAGAGTTCCTGAAGGACTGCCAGGTCCCATATGAGTTTAATCACCTGCTGTGAATTTTTTTTGGGCAGGTTTATTCAAAATGCCCACAGGTTTTGAGGCATGGTGGACAATAGAGCAGAGCTTTTTCACCTCTAGCGGTCCTTAGATTCCAGTTCCTCAAGGGTTGTTCCCTCACTGCTGTAAGGCAACAGAGGAAAGAAGACTTTTTGATTCTCTAACATTTTATTTATTTATTTATTCAGTGAAGGTCTCTGGGCGGCTCACAGTTTTTTAAATTGGATTTTATTATTGCTGCTTCTTCAAAGATCCTCTCTTCCCCTCCCCCATTAATGTCACTGTATTTATTGTTTTAACATGTGTTAGCCCACCTCATGTACGTATTTTTGAAAATTAAATCATTTTTTAAAAGTGGTTTGAGTGGTAAAGTAGATGTTTCTTCTTGCCAGAAAAACCCTCTGCTTAGATATGTTTCCATCATTTGGGTAATTTAATGCAAAGTATTACTCGGTTCCTTATTCACAATCTGTATTATGGGTTGTGATCCCTATTTCAGTGTCAAGCCTGTTTTGAAAAGATGGACAAACCTGAATCTTTAATTGATCTTGTGAGCATGACAAAATGTTTAAAAGCAGCATTTAACTTCTAAACTTAGAGACACGGCTTGAGCCTGCTGGGAAGTTACATTCATCTACTGGGCCTGTTTATTAAATATAGCGGTTTTTCCTGTAAGAGAAGTCCTACAAGCAAGCTGTTGTTCAAATAGATGTGGGATGTCTTTAACTCCTATGAAAAGAGCCAGAGCATAGCAGTTTGAGGCCTTATCACAACCCCAGCAGAATCCTGTCAACTAATTAACTTCTGGTCAATTTGTTTGACTTAAAAGTCTCACCTTCCTGATTCTAAATATGCCTTGTAGAAATTGTTTTAGTCACTCAGGGATGTGGAGCATTCTTTGTGTGTTCAGATACATCTTGCTGATTCCTGTAGCATGTTCCTGAGACAGAACGTCAGTTCTGAGGCAGAACTCTGGAAATTTTTTCTTTAGATTGCACCATCTGTAGAAGTTATAAAGGAAAATAAACTCATATTTAGCGAGCTCCACCCTGGATCACATGCCAAAATAATGTTGCAAAATAGACACATGTGGATTCATCATGTGAAATGGTGTATGACTATTTTCATGTAATATTGTGACTGGAAGTAGTGTTCCTGCAGTACAGTTGTCATCTTCAAAGTATTCATTCATTCATTCATTCATTCATTCATTCATTCATTCATTCATTTATTTATTTATTTATTTAACTTATATACCACCCATCTAGAACGTGTCTACTTTGGGCAGTTAACATAAAGCATAAAAATAAACTAAAGGTAAAATCTGAATTAATCACAGAGTCCAATATGGGAAAAGAAAGACAGGAAAAAAGGAAAGAAATAGGCTAGGTGATGGCTGTAGGGAAGGCCTGCCTGAATAGCCATGTCTTCAGATTGGTATTGAATGTCCTTAATATGGGAAAAGAAATGCAGGAAAAAAAAGGAAAGAAACAGGCTAGGTGATGACTGTAGTGAAGGCCTGCCTGTATAGCCATGTCTTCAGATTGGTATTGAATGTCCTCAGGCCTGATTTTTAGTTTTTTCCCTCCGGACTTCTCTTGGCGTTAGGCCTCTCAGCCACCTGTGGCGTTAGACCCCTCAGCCACCCGGCCTGACTGGAATGGGTGATATGGGTAGAACTAGGCAGATGAAGGCGCTTTGCCAGGTATCAAGGGCCTAAACCGTTTAGGGCTTTATATGTAATAGTTACCACCTTGAAATTGATGCGGAAGCGGATAGGTAACCAGCGTAAGGTGGCCAGCGTTGTCATCTGTTGTAAAAAAAGGGGGAGAGGGGAAAGGGGCTTGAACGTTGTCATCTGTTGTAAGAAAAAGGGGGAGAGGGGAAAGGGGCTTGAAATCAAACCTATAAGAAATCAGAACACAACAGCAGTTTTTTAAAAGTTAAATTTATTGTGCGGATTGTTTTCTGTGATCTCATTCGCTATTGAGAGTCAAAGATCTTTCCTAACAATGCTGTGATATGTCTGGACACACTGTCATGTGTTTGGAGAGGGGAAGTAGGGAAGAAGGCAATTCGACAACTTCTGTGGTACTGGCTCAGGGAGACAAAAATGGTGGTGAAGGCATGGTTTCAGTGGGAACAGCTGCTGCTCCCTGCCTCCCTCAGCCTAACAGTAAGATGGTCCCATGGCCTTATAATTGTTCCTTGAACTTTTACAGCCTTAACACAAAGGGTTTCTCTACTTGATTTTTTTAAGCTCTTGGTTTTATGCAGGTATTTATGCACTATATTATTCATTATTTTGCATTTTTTTGCAAATATAAAAATTATAACCAAAATTAAGGATGGCTAATAGTCTACTTTTAAACTTCTGTGATTAGTAAAGATTATCTTATGTCTTAATATAATATGTTTAAATGTTTGTTTGTTTTGGCTTGGCATATGATGGAACTGATATAGAATGCAGCATAAGGTGTGGATGATAGTGGATGTAGCTACGGACTTGGGCAGTACTTCCTCCTGAACTTCCCTACTCAGTTCTTGCTAATCACCAACATAGCTACGGACGTGGGCAGTACTTCCTCCTGAACCTCCCTACTCAGTTCTTGCTAATCACCAACAAACTGCCATTCAGATTATTCACTTGTCACACCATCCCTACAGGTGGATGAATCTCTGTACAGTGGTGCCTTGACTTATGTACTTTGAGTTATGACCAGCTCTGGTCAAGGAAGTCGAAGCAAAATTTTGTGGCCGGAGCTCTCTGGCCAGGGAAGTCGAAGCAAAATGTTGCGGCCGGAGCTGGTCGTAACGCGAAATGGTTGTAAGTTGGAACGTTCGTGAGTCGAGGCACCACTGTATAGAGTTGGGAAAGAGATGGAGAAATAACCTTCTCTGCGACCAGCTCCAGCTGCAAAATTTTGCTTCGACTTGCGGCCGGAGCTTCGAGTAACAACCAAAAAAGGCAGGGGGGAAGTCGAAGCAAAATGTTGCGGCCGGAGCTGGTCGTAACGCGAAATGGTTGTAAGTTGGAACGTTCGTGAGTCGAGGCACCACTGTATAGAGTTGGGAAAGAGATGGAGAAATAACCTTCTCTGCGACCAGCTCCAGCTGCAAAATTTTGCTTCGACTTGCGGCCGGAGCTTCGAGTAACAACCAAAAAAGGCAGGGGAAAAAGGCAGGAAATTCAAACTGTTGGTGGTAAAGAGGCTGCTGCTTTGTAGATCTTTCACCCCAACAATTAGGGAAAGGGATGCAGGGGGGGCAAGGGTGTTACCGTACCTGATGGTGGAATCTCAGTCCTCGGTGTGGGGGGTAGAGGGGCCCCGATCCCGGCTCCTGGAGGAAGGGTCCTTCTGCCTCCACCTCCTTCTTGGCGTGGCTGCGCTCAGCTCTTGGCCCCGCGGGGGCAGCTCCCCTTCTCCACTGGCATGCGGCTCCTGAGCAGCAGGTGGCTCACCTACTGGGGGCTCCCAGTGCCACCTCCTGCTCTGGCACCAAGGTCCAGCGACCACGTCGGACCTCGGCACCCTCCCAGCATCTACTGCTGCTGAGTCCCAGTCCTTGGCCTCGGCGTGGGGGTGGAGGGGGCCCTGATCCCGGCTGCTGGAGGAATGGTCCTCCTGCGCCACTGCCTCCTCCTTCCTGGCGGGGCCACGCTCAGTCCTTGGCCCTAC